GTTTGTTTTTATACATTACTTTTTGTTTCACTTTCTTTAACTATAAATCTCTGCCCACTTCTAATCTATGCTTTTTGAAAGCAGCATGTTCCTTTCTTAGAAGCAAAATAGTTTAGATTGGATTTAAATTAGATTTGAAAGTTTATTAAACAAAAAGCAAAAAACAATAAATCGAAATAAACTAAAAGGGTGAGATACTGGTGACGTGTACAGGTCGGCCGCGCCCTGCTGGACTTTGAAATGAACAAAAAACATTTCTAATAGCTGAGGTGTACATGGGATCAAGGTCGATAGGTGGTAAAGTGATTTTAAGCCGTTTTCGTTTATATATTCTTAAAACTTACTGGTCGAAGGTAAAGTCAGATCTTGGCAGGTGCAGTCGGTGGATCACACCGAAAAAGGAAATCAAGGCTGAAACGTTAAGGAAGCTTCAGGTAATGTAGACCGTGAACATTTGGGTTATCTGCAGAGAAACATTTTAAAACATTTGTAGAGAACATTTTAAAAATATGAAAGTTAAGAAAAGAAGAGCTTACAGAAACAAATTCTTTCTTACAAACTTTTTAGAACTCCCGTTTGCACCCCGGCGTCAGCGGGCCGTGTTTGTCTGTAACGATTAACATTTCTCTGTTAATTAAAGTGGTGTTTATTTTTATTTTTATTTTTATTTTTTTAGTTGTGGCATGAACATTTTTATACAGAGCGCACATCCAGAGAGATTTCGGGCCCTGATTGTCACGTACGAGTGTAAAAACGTGGCTCTGTCCAGATCAGGAGCGAAGCTGAAATGCAGGTTGGACAACCTCGGTCTGTTAAACACACTCAGGCTGTTTACAGCGCTGCTGTTCCAGTTTCACTGAATATGCGCATATTTCTTTTTGCATACTTTTGGATCAAGCTGGAATATAATCATCCAAACAACCGAGATAACTTTGTATCGCTCGCTTAAAAAACAAAACAAAGAAAAATAATTAATTGCTTCGTGTTTCTTGATTATGGATTTGTAAAAACTGATGTCAACAGTAGTTCTCTACAGGAGTTTAAATGTGTGAAAACACATATGAGTTCATTTGCCGGAAAAGAAAAATAAATAAGAGAGAGATAAATAAGCTACTTGGCTCAAATAGGACAATATATTCATTGCACTTATTCAATAAAATTCAATGATTAAATAATAAAACTATTAATGAAAAATGAAAATATAGTTTAAGCTGAAATGTCCGAGTGAAACACATCTTGTTCATTGGTTTATGTTATGTTCAATTCTTTCTTGCCTTTTTCTTTTAACGTCACTTAATCAGGCTCTGATGCGTTCTGACACTTTTGTGTTCTTTTTACTTCCTGTATAAACACCAGCTGGTGTGTGGGGAAATCGTGCTCATATTTTTTGTCTGGTCACAAGTGTTGGTGACAGAGTGGAGGTTGCTTCAGTGTACTGCTGTGTAGCCTTTGTAAGTAACTTCTCTCTCACTGAACATTTTTTTCCAGCCAGGTACTTTCATGTGATGCAGCCTCCATGCTGTGCAGAGCCCTACAGATGTTATATGATATTATAATATTTGTATACATTTGTTTAATTAACGAACTCGAATGAACTCTGCTGGAGTAAAAGATGATTATTTAAGACCTTGTATGTGAGGAGCAGGATTTTGAATTCAATTTTGGATTTTTTTTAATTTATTCAATTCTGTGTTATTTAAAGCAATTCCAAATCTTAACCACACAGGTCCACTACAAACCATCTCAAATCAGCATTTTCAATCCGGGATTGCATCTTGTCTACATTAGACAAGATGCCCCTCCCTGAGCCTGGTTCTGCCGGAGGTTTCTTCCTGTTAAAAGGGAGTTTTTCGTCCCCACTGTCACCAAAGTGCTTGCTCATAGGGGGGTCTTATGATTGTTGAGTTTTTCTCTGTATGTATTATTGTAGGGTCTACTTTACAATATAAAGTGCGTTGAGGCGACTGTTGTTGTGATTTTGCACTCTATAAATAAAATTGAATTGAATGTGTAGGCGTAAATAATAATTTGTATTTATTCTGTATACACACCAGCTACTGAATGATTCTTACAGAATAAAACAAAGTCTACAATTGGTTTTCCAGGTTCAAGAAAGTGACGGATACCATCAGAGCCAAAAAGAAGACTGAAGCAGCTTCTTTAAACAAGAGACATTTAAAGAAGAAAAGATGAAGTGTTTATTTAAGAACAGACACTTAAAGGAGAAAAAGAGAGAAATCACTAAAGTTAGAGATGATCCAATAAGTGAAGGAAAAACAGAAGAAGACACAAATTATGCATTTAAGTCACATGATGAAGAAGGTGAGGAGGATGTAAGAGCAGGTTGGTGCTTCTTTCTCAGAAGGCCCTTCTGTAGGACATACTGCATCAGTGATGAAAACATCAGAACACAGCTGAACACAGACGACGACAATGATGATGATGGTGTCTGCTACAGGAGTATTTCACTACCTAAAGAAAAAAAGATTTCAGCTTATAAACATCGATTCAAGAGTTTACGTTTTAAGTTGAAGAAGTCAGACAGAAAGGAGAACCGTAAACCTTTAAGCCACAATCCTTCCCCATCACGGGAGCCGGCAATTGTTTGTAAGGAGCTCAAAGTGGAAGACAGTGATTTTAGACAGTTTAATTTGTCTGGCTCTTTTACTGTTGTTTTTCATGAGATGGAAGATTTGCAAGAGGAACAAAACACATCTCACCAGTATACTGAAGGTAAATGTGGTGAAATTAAGTTTGGCTCCACAGACCTGATGGGCAAGACTTCATCACCCTGTAAATCCACTGGGTTGCCTAAATATATAAGTGAAGGAACAATTGAAGAAGATGGTTGCAGAGTTTCTTCTCCATGGATAAAAAACAAGTCAAGAGAAACAGATCCTCCTGTCATGACTAAGAACATGTCATCAACCAATACGCTTTCACACAGTTCTCGTGTGCAGTTCTCCTCCACAGATTCCTGCTACTTGACTCGTTCTCACAGCCTGTCTTTACTGACCAAAACACCAATCAAGAACTTGATACAAGCAGCAAGCTCACCTGACATGAGGTTAAAGGGGTTTACACCTGGCATTACTGCTGATGAGTCTGATGATGAAACCTACCTGTTCCAGTGCTCCAGTGCAGGCCTGTACCAGTGCAGTGTGACCGGCCTGGTGTTTGAAATGAAGGCAGAAGGAGACGTGGTTTACAGGACTGTCCCTTGGAACAGGAGGCTGCTGGCCCAACACCACAAGAAGCCTGCAGGAACCCTGTTTGACATCAAATGTCAGCAGCAGTCTGTGTGTCAGCTTTGTCTCCCACACTGTGAGCTCATCTCCACAGGTGGAGGTCAGTTCTTGCAGGTCGCTCATGTGAATGATGAGGGCATCGAGTTTATCACCCCCCACAAGATAACAGAAAGTCATGCTTTTATAAACATCACAGGGTTTTCTGGTTATGGTAATGTGAAGGATGAAGACTCTCCCCCTGACCCAGTCCAAGCGTTGGTTCTGCTCTTCTACAAACCCCCAGTTGATCCTGATCTCAGATCTGTCCTCAGTGTGTTCATGCTGCCACGGAATATTGTGTTCAGCAAAATTCTGCGTAACAGGAAGACGTCAGACAAAACTGAGAGATACATAGAGACATCATCTCACTGTAAACTGCACCCAAAGCAGGTTTACACTCTGGTCACTGATCCTGAGCATGACCTGATTAAAGTTCAACCCAAAGAAGCTGATTTTGATGAGGAGCACCATGAAAGCTACTTCCCATCATTTCAGGTAGTCTTAAAAAAAATCCTCACGGATATTAACCTGAGTCTGGGAGACAAGAGCAGCTCCAGCTGTGTTTGGGAAAGAGAGGTTTGTCTGTTGCCCAGCGGAGGGAAAACTGATACTTTGGACACTGATCCAATAAAGAGACTATCAGCTCTACGGAGCTGCTTCATCAAAAGTATATCAGGACCTGTTCTCAGCAGTCTGATGGACAAACTGCTGGATGAAAAGGTGATAACTGATGCTGAGATGGATGCAGCAGACGTCATACAAAACAGAAGTGACAGAGCTCGCTTTGTTATCGACACTGTGAGGAAGAAAGGTGAAGCTGCCAGTTCACAGATGATTGAGTTTCTGTGGGAGCTTGACCCCTTCCTCTGTGAATATCTTGGGTTGGTCTGATGCATCCATGTGAACAGACAGTAAGAATAATTACATTTATGACGCATTTCTCTAGTGTGTGTCATGCAACCTTTTTTTAAATTATTTTTATTACCATTGTCTGAATGGATTTTAATGTAACTTAAAGTATGAAACTCTAACAGCTTGTGAACTGATTTCAGTACTTTTTCATGAATAGTTATTATTAATTATTATTACATGCATACAGATGAATCCATACAGAAGTATCTGTATGGATATGTCTCATGTATATGTGTTTCAGAATTTTTCATGAAGACAAACAGCAGCATGTTGCTTTGTCTTTAATTATTTGCTTTTATTTTTTTGTATATACAGAGCTGTTTAAAACATAAGGATTTTTTTTTTATGATGTGTGTGTGAATCAGTTTTTTCTGTCAGGTATTTATTTCACCATGAGTTTTCTTGTACTTTTTATTGTGGACTAATTTCTACGTTTTTTTTTCTTTGTTTTAAAAAATCTAAAAGATGCAATGTCTCATCGTACTTTTTCTCCCGAGTTCCTCAGTGCATTTCTGCAGCTCTGATAAAACAGTGATGCCAAATGTGACTTATAAATATGTAAACAGCTCTATGAAAATTATGCACCCACTACTGCCGTGTTCAATTTGTCATTCATTTTTATTTATTTAACCTTAAAACCTTGCACAAACCCCTTTTTAAATCTTATATAATCAACTTGTAATTCAATTTTTTGTGCTTTATGTCATATCATATAGATGCTCTATCAGCTTGACTGCGAAAACTTTGAGCGCTCACTGCTCACATTTAAATTTCGGTAATGACACAGGCTCTGCTTACCTTCATTTTGAAGGCCTTCTGTGAGCGTGAGTTGTCTGCAGTTCTGGTATCTGACAGCAAATCTGTGAGGAGCCTTTCCAATTCTCCTTTCTCCCTCTTGCAGCCAAAAAACTCACACAGGGTCACCAATTTGTCAAGCCCCGGGACGTCGGGCTAGTGATTTTTTCAGTCGGGTTACCAAAATCTATCTCTGCCCGTCGGGCTGTCATAGGAAAGAAAAATATATGTCAATGCTTTTGCATTCTTTC